ACCACGACCACCGCTACTACTACTACTACTACTACTACTACTCCTACTCCTGCTACTGCTACTGCTACTGCTACTGCTACTGCTACTACTACTACTACTACTACTACTACTACTCCTGCTGCTACGACTACTACTACTGCTGCTGCTGCTACTACTACTACTACTACTACTACCACTCCTACTACTGCTACTGCCACTACTGCTGCTGCTACTACTAGTGCTACTGCTACTACTGCTAGTACTAGTACCAGTACTAGCGCTAGTACTAGTACTAGTACTAGAGCTAGTGCTAGTGCTAGTGCTAGTTCTAGTACTACTACTAGCACTAGTGCTACTACTACGAGTAGTACGACGACGACGACTACTACTACGACCTACTACGACGACTATCACGATTACACAACAACAACAACAACAATTACTACTACTACCATACTACTCCTCCTCCTCCTCCTCCTCCTCCTACTACTACTACTACTACTACTACTACTACTACTACGCTTCTGCTATCACGTTTCTGCTACTACGACTACTCCTACTACTAATCACTACTACTGGACCGAGGTGCTCAAAGGAAACGCATGGAGAGAGAGCTGGGCTCCCTCCGCGGCGAGCTGGCCAAGTGTTCGATGCCCGGTTGGGTTTCGGGTTTGGGGGTCGATTTAGGGTTTAAGGTTTGGGGTTTAGGGTTGGGGTTTAGGGTTTTTGGGTTTCCCGACCAGGGCCGTCCTTTGTCTTTTTGTTGGGAGCTGGCATGGCTTTGCGGTTTCAGATGTCGTCCGAGGATTGGGAGTCTAATACGCTCCCAAAAGACTTTACACACCGAGGTATGTGCAGTAGCAATCAGGCCAGAAGAAACATCTGCAGCGAGTGCAGCCCAACTTCATAGCTGAGGTCTTTCCCACCCCACTTGCAGATCCTAATGTAAGTGTATTGTAACGTACTCCAAAACCCGGTTCCAAACATACCACTATACTAGCATCCGTTTCTCGGCAATGCCCCCAGGCGAGAGCATCGTCGAACAGCTCATGGAGGAGATCGAGGATCGAGGCAGAGGACAGCGGAGCCAAAATTCACAACAGTAAACAATGATAGCCAGAACAATAGTCATAATAGTCATAACATTCACAATAAACATCATCGCCATAGTAATCATTATGTTATTAACACTACCACTAACAATGACCATCATCCTCATCCTCCTCCTCATCATCATCATCATCATCATCATCATCAACATCATCATCAACATCATCATCAACATCATCATGCTCCTCGTCGTCATCATCATCACCATCGTCATCCTCATCATCACCAGCATCATCATCAACATCATCATCATCATCATCATCATCAACATCATCATCAACATCATCATCAACATCATCATGCTCATCGTCGTCATCATCATCATCGTCATCATCATCATGACAGCAGTAGTAACAACGTGACAACTATATGATTCGTTTCCAGGCGCTGCCTAGCCGTAAAACCTGAAGTGCAAGGGCTTACGGCCCAGGGTTGAGGTCTTCAGGTTTGGGGGTTTAGGGGTTTAGGGTTTAGGGCTTTGGGTTTAGGCTTCAGGGTTTAGGGTCTAAATGTACGTCATAAGTTTACGCTCAGAGGGTCCCGCGTTTCGAGTGTACCGCTTCGGTTTCCAGGGTTTGGAGTTCTGGGGGGTGTCCTAGACAGCACAAGGTCCTGTGTAGAAAACAGGGCCTCAATGATTAGAAGCGGGATTTGCGGGGTATAGTATACTCCAGAATAGGGGCTACAGGGGGACATTACCACCAAGTAGTTAAACATTTTTATTACAACTTTCGCCACAGCCACAACGCCTTAGAACCTCTTCTCCAGATGAGGCTCGAGGCAACAGACGTTTGAAGGGCTTCGCCGCGGTTTTGGAGGTCTCCAGTAGGGTTTCGGATCATGGGACGTGCTGAAGAGCAGGGGGTTTAATTGTCAGGGGACGTTTGAAGTCCAAGGTTTGGGTGTTGTAGGGGTTCGAATGCCTGGAAAGACTATCCGCTTGTAATTCGTGATCACAATAGACTTAGATGGCACTGCACCCGGAAACCCTGGTGAAATGCTTCAGGCCCTTATACTGGACTGGCTTTCTGTCAATGGAGACCATGAACCCTAAACCCTAAACCCTAAACCCTAAACCCCTAAACTCCTAACCCCTAACCCCTAAACCCCTAAACCCTAAACCCCTAACCCCTAAACCCTAAACCCTAAACCCTAACCCCAAACCCCTAAACCCGAAACCCTAAACCCTAAACCCTAAGCAGTGCATGGTGGCAGTTTAACAGGGCTTCTCTTGGTTTGCAGGTTCGGGCCCAGCTGGACGGGTGCAGGTTTCGGGGTTAGGGGGTTTAGGGTTTAGGGGTTTACAGTTTAGGGGTTTCGGGCTAAGGATTTAGGTTTTAGGGAAGGTTCAAAAACCCCAATCGATAAACCCCAAGTTCCAAACCCTAAATCCCAAACGCTACGCCCCAAATTCGCAACCCTAAATCCAAAACCCTTCGCCCCAAACCCTAAACCTTAAACCCCAAACCCTAAACCCCAAGTTGTAACCATAAACCTCAAATCCCACACTCCAAACTCTAAACCCAAAGCGACAAGCCCTAACTTCCAAGTTCCCGGCCCTAGGTTTTCGTTTCCTAAACTCCAAGTTCTAAACCCTAAGCCCCAAACCCTAAGCCCTAAGCCCTAAACCCTAAGCCCTAAACCCTAAACCCGAAATCCCAAACCCGAATCCCAAACCCCAACCCCAAGCCCCAAACCCGAAGCCTGAGCCTAAGATGGGTGCGGGGCGTTGGGGAACTACCACAAGGGTTCTGTCAGGTTTCGGGATGGGTGTACAGGGGATTAGGGTTTGAGGTTTTGGGGTTCATGGGCCTGGACAGTATGAAAGGTTTAGGGTTTACGGTTTAGGGTTTAGGGTTTAGGGTGGGGATGAGTATCGCCAAACCCTAAGCCCGAAGCCCTAAACCCAACATGCCACAGTTGGGAGCCGACGTCTGCTGTAACAAGGATGAGTCAACCCAACTATAAAAAAAAGCCCTCAGAACCCTTCAACTCGAAAACCGAAGTCTTGTCGCCGGCTCCTTATTACAATTATAACCAAGGGGCCCCAAGACCCTATTCTAAGTATCAAGGCCCCTATTAGGCGTCCAACCGCAAACTGAAGCAAAAGGATCCATGCGGTCGACAGAGGCTCATTTTCCGAGAAAGCGTGGGCATTTTTCGGACCTGCCATGAGCTTTCGGAGATGCGGGGGCAGCAGTTGTGGACCAACATCGCCTTGATTGTACCTGTAGCCGAAAAGAACCCTAGCTTTTTAGGGTTCCTTATATTATAAAGGTTTCTATCTTAGGGTTCCTTATATTATAAAGGTTTCTATCTTAGGGTTCCTTATATTATAAAGGCTTCTATGCATAATTCTTCAAAAAGCGTCGGCTTTCTTCGGCCACAGGTCGAGTTTCTTTTCATCGCGAAGGCGGTCTTTCTGGGGATTTTCTACTGGCGGTACTTGCTGGCACTGGCTTCAAGGACCATCTACGGCACATGGACCGCCTTACGTGGAGTCCGGGGAATCAAGGAGAACCCCGTCTTCCTGGACCGGATGGAGCGCCTGCGACTCAAGCTCCTTAGATAGCCAACGGGAGAACTTTAAGCTTTTTGGCTTTATATATTAGGTCTATCCTAAAAAGTTTGAACATTTTTGGGCCTGGTTGAAGAAGAGAGGCTCTCTCACGCTTACATGTATGCGGTCTTGTGTGCGATGCTGCCGGCTATCGTCTCTGCCCAGCGCAACCTCGCGACTGGAGAAGGGGCGCAAGTTGCTTCCGGCGCTCTGCGCTGGGAGATGCTTTTCTTCCTTTCGGTTGCCATTCTGCACTTCCTCTTCCCGAAGGCGTGCCGTTATCTGTTTCACGTTGACTGGCCTAGCCTGAGAGGGGGATGCCATTAACATCCTGCCCCGGCAGGTGGACGTCATTAACTACTACCGATAGGTGTCAAGCTTATCTTTTTGCTGGGTGTGTGGCCTAGAGACTCTAGGCGAGAACGGCTGCAACGCTAAAAGCCCCATGCTCACCTCCCAATGGTTTTGAATAACGACAGCGTCTTGTGTAGCAGCTAGCCATGCTCCTCTCACTTTACTTCGATGTTTGAGCCTAAACCCTAAACCCTAAACCCTAAACCCTAAACCCTAAACCTCTATCCCTACTTGGATTGCGAGGGTTGGGTCACCTTAGGTTCCGAAGGTTCAGGCTCCGGGGCTCCGGTATGCAGGCGCTGCAAGCGGCATCTGCTGACTCGCTGTACCTCTTGCTGATGGCCTCGTGCACCTTCGCTGCTGTTGGAGATTCAGCCTAACCCCTAAACCCTAAAC